CGCGTGGGATAACGTCTAAGTGCTAACGATCGGGATGAATCTATAGTTGCTGTTGGCCAAGGAATCAGAATCTTTAATTATGTAAGTTCTCGCAATTTCTAGGTGCGTATGTACACAGTTCAACGCATTCTTCATTGTACAGATTTTATATTTTCGACCGCATATCGTCCCATTGATTCCTCGAGTTTGCAGTCTAGCCGCGGTTCCGGTATATGGGGGAACCTATTCTTCAGTTCCTAAATGAACGCCGATTTGAATCGAAATGTTTACATTGTCGAGCTCCCGCCGGCGGTTCCAGAACGTTCCGTGCGAGCAGACCTAATTAGCGGCTGTCGCAGCAGACGATGGATATCGGGCATGCCGGCAACTGGCACGCTGCCCAAACAACGCTTCGAATTTCGGGGACGTCCGCTGGGCTTCACGAATGTTCCGTCGAGGAAGGAGGCTCCGCGTTGCGCGATGACGACAGCTTCCAATAAAGAACATCTATTCTAATTTCCACACGTATGTACGCGTTACACCCTGCCACGTGACAACATTAAATGCCATTTCTATCGAATGAAATTCAGTGATCGACCATTCAGCTCGGGGTCTTGAGAGCGCTGATTGGCCGTGAAGGCCGCTCATTGGCCGAACAGTTAATGTCGTTCGATGGAAATGACTAGCCGTCGACAGTGATCGGACGTAAAACGGAGTATATAGTCGCTTCGCAGGTGCCATCTCAGACGCTGAATTCGGAGCCATCATTCTAATTTCTCTCGCCGATTTAGGGGTCTCTTTGATAAAGTCGGCTAAATTGTAAATAGACGAAAGGCGAGCACAGCGCCGATTTGATGAAGGTTGAGAAACGAAAAGTGGCACAGACACAGGGCCATCAACTGAAGCTTTATTTTCCGTCGCATCGGAAAAGTCGAGGGAGGGGTCATCAAAGGGTCGAGCATCGCGCAATCAAAATAAAATGACAACTACTCTGGTGGTGCAGGGGTGGGGTGCGGTGCAGTTTGTGTATTAACGTGAGTGGTAAATTTTTATACCCTCCAGTAAGTAAAATTGCGCCAAAGTGCCAAGTCTGTTAGTGTCGCCCAATGTAGTACGTATCATTGCCTTTATATCGTGTGAAAAGTAAGAACTTCCCAATATTCGAAATTTCTTGCGTAGAAGTTGGGCACCCTGCCCATTAGTCGACGCGAGTTCGACTCATAGACAGCGTGCCCGACTTCTACGCCACAAAAATTCAGAAAAAGTGGAACTTCGTCCACATAAAAAAAAAAAAAAAAGTTGGAAGGTTCGAGAAACAACTCAAAACTCAGGTTCCACAAAATACTGCGACGTTCCTAATTACATCGGCTCACTGAATCCTCACTTGGCATCACGGTTGTCCGCCCCGCCAAACGCTGTTATCTGTCCGATAACATCGGTTTTTTTCTTGCTCTGTAGATTGCTTTCACGTCGTTATAAAGCAGAGGCCTATTTGTTTTGGTCATCAAAGAAAATGGCATTTGTTCGAACGAAGGTCACTTTACATGGAAATATGACGTCACATCGTAAACGGCTGGTCGTTGCATTTGTCAGAAAGCTTGTTTTGCTCCTAAATAAGGTGTGACTATTAAATAACAAGACTGATTTTTGTTTTACTTCCCTTTCGACCTATCAAGATTGTGTGCTGTATTGTTCATTGTTATCTCCTACGCAACATATAAACGTTTCAAGGTCAGGCGGCCGACAGCCTGGAGCCAGCGTTTAACGGAAGCGGAGAGTACTTACTCACTCTGGCGGAATCTTGCCGCTTCTAAACATGGAGCAACGAATGAATTTGAGGTTCTTAGTTAAACTTGATAAAACTGCTACGTAAACGCGCGAAATGTTACAAAAAGTGTATGGGGATCAGTGTCTGTTTCGTCGTAGAGTTTTGAGTGGTTTAAAGGTTTATAGTAGATATAAGAAAGAGGTCGAGGACGATCTGGGCCCCGGTTGTCACAGGATATCAAAACGGATGACAGCATTGAGAAAGTCAGCCAAATCATCCGAAAGGATCGGCGCTTGAATTTCCGCGTTGTTGCCGAGTTACTCAATATCGACGAAGAGGTTGTTGGACAAATTCTTTACGAGAATTTTTAACGTTAGAAAAATGCGTTCAAAAATGGTGCCGAGCCTTCTCACTCGGGAACAAAAGGAAATTCAGATGACCATTTGTGTTGATATTCTTCAAAACACTGAAAATGATCCAAACTTTTTAAAACGTGTCAGTACGTTAAAAAAAAACATGTAATAACTAGTGATGAATCTTATTTTTATTTACACTCAATACAGAAACCAAACGCGAATCACTGCATTGGAAGAGTCCCAGTTTACCAAAACAGAAAAAGCTGCGACAGACCAAATTCAAGTTCAAGGCAATGATGTTTGTGTTTTTCGATATCAAGGGCATTGTTCATGTGGTTTTGGTGCCTGAAGGACAGACAATTGACCAAAGCTACTACCACAAGAGTGTCTTCCAAACTCTTAAAGAACGGGTTAGAAGAAAAAGGCCTGAAATGTTGAGGAACCAGCACAGAAAGCCTTGTCAGTCCTGTCGTTCCTGGCTCACCATAGCATCACTGTGTTGGAGCGTCGGCCGTACTCAACTGACCTGGCCACATCGGACTCTCAAACCTATTCTCCAAGATCCGGTCTGGGTTCGAAGTAACATGGTTTGAATCCGTTTATACTGCCAAGGCAAAAGCGACGGAGCTTATGAAGGGCTTATCACTCGATGACCTACAGCACTGCTTTCAGCAATCAAAGATTCGCGTGAAGGGGTGTAGAAACCGCTGCAGTGGAGTACACTGGAGAGAACATTACTATTGTATTAGAGTGGAAATTTGGGCAAGTTGTTCACGTAGCTAAGCGTCAAAGAACACAGGGACAATTGTATAGGGGACAGGGGCGCATAAACGAACTGCATTAAAGTGGCAATTTGGGCCAGTGATCCAAATGTGTAATTTCTTATAATATTCTCGAAAGATGAGTTTCGGTTTTTAATAGCCACACCTCGTATAAAATCAACAGAAACGGATGCTTGTTCAGCTTAAGTACACCCTTGCCATTCTTATATTGACATTTTTTGAGTATCAGATATAAGTGCAAGCGAACAGTTCTAGAAAAATTATTAAGAAAACAGCATATTTTTAGTTTCGTTATTTATCTTAGCCTTTATAACAGATGTAACACGTCAAGGTCACTTGGAATTCGACAAATTTATTTTAGAGGTTGATGAGGGACTAAAATAAACCCAGAGATTCAAAGCGTCAGCGTAAAATGGGGGTTAAAAGCTTTGCAGCCATAACAACGTAGTAAAGAGCTGACTGTACAGCATATCAGAAGTGTAGTGTGTCTCGGAGCTTCTATTTTTTGTAATAGTTAGCACATATTTTGAGTGTTTTCGGCTCTGAATCATTTTTTTATACGACCGGGCAGGAAAATTTATTTTAACCATAAATACTTAGTAACAAAGGCAAAAGGGGACAAGGTCGCGATAGTAAACGATAAAATATTAGAACACAAAAATGGCAAAAAACAAGAAAACGAAGACAAACGCAAACATGACAAGTCGAAGAACTTGTCCAATTTATTTTATTAACTTTTTTCTCCTTTGGTATTGTTTACGATTTCCATACCACGTGTTCAGACAACTCTTGCATCGAGGCGAGCAGTCTCCGTCGAGAGACTCCCCGAAATGAGGTGAGGTCGGTTCGGTTCCAAGTCGACCACCGGAATCGCCGCGGTCTTAGGAACGTATCAGGGAATCCGACACGTCACAATTTGCTAAAATAGCACGCGATGCTTTTTTTTTTTTTTTTGTAGAGGGAGCGCGTACATTGAGATTAATTCGAGAAGACCCTTCGTGCTACTCAAAAAGGAGGAACAAGAAGACAACCTCCTTACAGCAACGTTCAGAGGACGTGACAAGGAGGTACAACGAACAAGACCAACAAAGACTGTGCTCACGAGTATATATTTTTGGGAAAAAACTGGCGCCACTTCGCAGAGAACGTTGTTTCAGGATTCCGAGGATGAAACAACGCGCGCATTAGGAAGGAGAGGGAAGTAACGTCTCAGAACGAACTTGGAGCAAAAACATAAATCACAAGCCTGATATAAGTCACTGCAACCCAATAGAGCCCGCAGAATATTGCTTCCTTGGTCGGGGAGGTGTACGCTCGCTCGAGCACGTGTTCACGTATTGTCATTACCAGAACCTTCCCAATCGGCGACTTTTCTAAAATGGTTCATCGTTGTAAGCTGAGATTGTTTTGGGTGTGTTCTGTTCCCACATCGCGGAGTTTAGCTTACGTGAATATGCATCGTTACCAGTCGCCAGCTACGAGATATGCTCTTACAACGCGACACTCGGACGACGGTTGAAATGAGAGGCCTCCTTGGAGCTGTTACTGCAATGGGAGCGAGTGTGACATACCTTCCAGGTTTCTTTGATTAAACGTTGACTCCACCTTGTAGTCACCCGAACATATATGGGTCGCTCCGCAGCCAAAGAGGTTGAGGCATCAGCAAATGAGAAGGCCCATAAACATATCACGAACGATGCACATGATACGCCACATCCTTCGTCTCTGAAGTTCTCAGTTACTAAAGATATAGACATAGAAGATAGAGCAAATTCCATACACGAATGTGCTCAATCGCATTCCCATTCTCGCTTTGTTGTACGAAGCTGCCCGTTAGCGCCCTCCTCGCGGCCTTCGCCGCACCTTCCACTCCGTCTAAACTCGGAGACATCTTATAATTTGAGACGATAAATCATCGCGGTACGATATATACCTGGTCGAGGTTCAAGGACAGGTCAGCCGTTCGGTCACTTATTTTTTTACATTGTGCGCAAGAATGACCAACCACCAGACTGGCAGGTAAAGCGGTACCAGGACTGCGCGATAAGGGACGATGACGTCATCCATATTTCTTTTTTTGTGGGCTCCGGGACCTACTGGTACCTGTTATGTTTTAGGCGGCACGCCTTCCATTGTGGTCGACCGTGAATTCGGTCATCAGCACCCGGCCGACTTGGCAGCTCTTTGGCGAGTACTATACGCTTACGGGACCCGACCGGCAGCGAGCATCAACAAGACGACGACGAGTCAGACGGGGAGGCGTCTCGAAGGTTCGTTCTGCGCGCAGTCGTCGGGCGACCTTGGTCGTGGTATCCCCCTCGCCCTCCTCGCCCCGTCCGGCGCATTGAAAAGGAGGCACGCCTGAATCGGTCCCGTCAGTTGCCTCGGCGAGAACGCGGAGCATCCCACGACGCCAGTTTGATCCTCTTCCAGCCCAGCGGAAGGACTACCGGTCGTGCTCGTTTTATTCGTTTGGGGACACCGCTCGCAACTAAGCCATGCTGGTGTATCGGCCGTCGATGCTGTTGCTGGTCGCGCTGGCCTGCCTCGCGGTTCGCTCCTCGGGCCTGGAGAAGGAAGATGACTCGGAGGAAGTCGAGTCCCCGGCGACCGAGGATCGGGACTTCGAGGGTCGAGGTTCCGAGGGTCGCGGCTCCAGGGAGGGACGGTTTTTCAACCTGAACGGCTTCTTTAGACCTCAGATACACGGAAGGTGAGTTTTCCTTTTTATAAAAAATTGCTCGAAGTGCAGACGAGCTGGTCCTCGGTCACCCTTTTATTTCTATCTCTCTCGCTGACTTTACTCTTTTAGACTTAAGTCTCAGGGTTTGTCATCGTAATCGGGGTCGAGGTTTTACCTTTACATTTTTGTTGTTTTCCATATTCCTATCATAATCTAACCGGATTAGCAGGATTACGCACTCTACCGATAGCAGGAACATATGAATAATTTTATAAGTTGTTAAAAATAAGTAAATTGTATCTGCGACAGCGATAGGTAGCGCTTAAAAAGCAGGATGAAGGGAAAATACTCGAGGCAAAACATAGCACTTCTTCCCCCGTGACTCGGTGAAGGCTGCTCGCAATGTAAGCTTACCTCCAAATTAATCCTTTCCTCCGGCATATTATCGCTATATATTATTTTGCCTAATAGACCCCTAACTAAAGTCCCACGTCCAGTATTGAGTCGTACATAATGGTCCCGTCGACAGCCATGAGGGCCTCAATGAACAGTTTATTATTTGCCCATGCTTTCAATACATTGCGATGCTCAAACGTATGCAAATCGAAAAGCTGGCGCGCCGTTATTTGTGGAGCGGAACTTGCGAGATAAGTGTCCGAGGGAATGGTGTCAGAACTATCGTGTGCTATCCAAGGTCACACTGCTCTCCAATGACTGCTAGAGAGGTTTTCCCATCAAGGAGGAAGTTGGGACGGCCTCATTTCCGATATTACGAAAAGATGAGGATGTCCAAGTTTATGGAAATTAGCACACTCTAATACCTCCATATATCTATAGGCCCTTGATTTTGTACGGGTCGTTTGATTCACAGCTCCACGAACACTAGCTTTTTATGCCCCATTCAACTATGACCATTTAAAAGCAAAAGTCGAGTAACTAGTTCACCGTTTCTTTGTTTTTTATTATGGAGACTCCTGTCGTTCCGCCTTGTTGTAGTTGTTTAGTTGCAGTGTTGTTGTTAGTGCGCTTGAGAGGAAATAACTGGAACACTTCTGCAAACTGAAAGATCAAGTGATTCACAGGGGTGTTACCTCGTTCACTCCGGTGTAGTCATATCTGCAAAAAATGAGTCATGCGAGATTTTACCATTTATCTTCATTGTTCTCCGTGAGCCCACGTCTTTTTTTATGTGTGCGTTTTTCCTCGATTAAAAAAAATAATTCGAAAATTACGTCGTGCCTTGCCCTCTCCTTTTCATGGCCATGTTCCCTTTTTTTTGGCAGGAAGAATTATGACGAACACAGCTTTTTTTTACTTAGTTTTGAATATTTCCGCTTAACTAGACCTGCTTTAAGACGCTTATCAACTAGCTTGCTTCTTGTATTTCTGTGGGGACGCTCCTACACGCGCCAGCTTTACCTTCTTTCATCACTTCTGTGCAGTGCACGTTCAAGGTCTAAGAGAACCGTTTTACCGACTACATTCCTTTTCTGCGGACACGATGACTCAGTGGTTGACGCTGCGATGGCGGGACGGTCTAACGAAGCAATATATTTTCCATTTAACAAAATTTATCTTTTGCCCAGTCAGAGCAATTTAAAACTCTTATTTTTCTTTTTTTTTTGGTTTCCAAGAGTCGGTATGGGTTGCTCTATGTCAAAACAAGTGGACTGTACTAGTCAGGGCAAATCTTGCTCTTCAAGCCAGTTAGCAAAAGGGGTTCTAGTATTTTCCATGTGTCATGTAGCCAGGAAAACGTACGAAAACAACCAAAGATTTCAATATAAAACTTTACCGTTAATCTTTTGATGCCCGTATAAGCCGTTTTAATGAAAGGCTAGTCGCCCGTGCAGTTACCCTTTGTTTTTCTTTTCGAATGGCATGTTCGACGAAGTTTTGTGTGAGCGGCTAAGCGCATTCAACATGAATGAACGCAAACACTTCTTGACATTGGCACTCTCCATCCTGCCACTGTCACCATTGTTTTCTCATTCTGCTGGGCCCACATAGTTGCGAAAACATAGCGCAGTCACGTGAAATGAAAAAAAAAAAAAAAAAATTAATACTTTCGCCATACGAGCCATTCTTTGCATTAACCTTGGGCGCGTAATTTCACTCTAGCTCTGCGAACCTGCACACTGCTCGGTCTATTATGCAGACTGCATTGTTTTAACCGGACAAACGGCGCCAACTACAGTAATACAGCACGGCTTTTACGGGTACTAATTCAAATGCACGAAAGGCCTACGGTTTTGAGGAAATATGTACGCACAAGTTAAGTAGAAAACGAGCGTGTTGGTAACAGTAATGAAACATGTATCTTCCTCGTGTTGAATTTATATACGCACATATTCGCGTTTTTTTTTTATTGCGATTCGCGAATGCTTCGTTACCCAAGAAGAATGCAAAAGCTTTATCCTGGTAGCTCCCGGATAACCCCCCCCCCCCCCCCTCCAAAAAAAAAAAAAAAAAAAAATTACGTGCGTTATGTAACGAAGAAAGGAAGAAAAAAAATTACCCTTCAAATCTGAGTTAGCGAGGGTCGCGTCATCGTTGGGATTGCGTGTTCTCGGCATTCGTGCCATCACAATGGAAACGTCCCTCCCTCCAGTGTCTCGGGTGTGTTTCGACCGCGTCGGATTACGGGGGATTGATGCAGGTCCTCTTTACAGTGGGAGATTACCTTCTCACTGCAACAATACCTCTACTTCGTCTTCTTGCTTTCTATGCGCGAGCCAAATTCTCTTTCTTTCTTCGCGCGCAAAAAAACAAATCTTAGGAAAGTGGCCTTGAAAGAAGGACGTGTGTAAATGGGTTCCGGTAGAACTGTAAAAAAAGGAGTGGAGGTTTTGGGTTATCTGGAACTCGTGGGAGCCAGCGAGGGTGTCCAAGCAAGTGCCGTGTTAGGAAAAAAAAGAAAAAAAAAAACAAAAAAAAAAACAACAACAATAGCGCACTACTATTTTTAGACTACTGTAAAGGTTCCTAATGCGTTTAATGGCTGTAGCGATTGTCTTTCTCTTTCCCATCTCGTTTTTTGTGTGATTCAGTATTCTAAAATTATCAGAATATTTTTCTTGATAGTAAGAAACATTTTATTTGTTTATTTATTCCATTTATTGACAGTGCCAAAGACCTCTTGACTAATATATTATACGGGTCAATTGATAAACATAACAATCGAAGCTGTAAACATGTCCTGACTTTACATGTTATTTTTTTTTTATTATTACTACTAAAAAACATTGTAGTTTGGAATATCCAGACTTCGCTTACAGAAGTAAAATAAAATCAGGGAGAAGAGAGTTTTGTTTTGCAGATATATGGGCGACGGATTCCAACTACATGACTTCCTAAACTATATATATACTTTTTTTTGTGTACTTATACCCTGCTTTTCTCAGAATGATATTTATTACCTTTTTATTCAGAATAACTGACAAAGCCTGGCAGATCGTCACGTGACGCGGCCGCCGAAAGTGAAAAGGTAGAGCGGCAAACAAGAGTCATGTAACGGGCGCTCCGCTGCGGCGAGACGCCGAAAAACACTTGTCCCGACCGATGGAATGTCCGCTCGTGCTCCTTGCAACCGGGGCTTTAATAGAAAAATAAGGAAGTGAAAAAATGTGCTCCTTGCGTTCAGGCTACCGCTTCTTTTTCTTGTCTGGTTTGAAAACCATGTCTTCGCCGCTGCAAAAGCTGTGCGCTGAATACCAGATTCCCCGAGAAATGTTCTGGCATCGTCGTCGAGCTGCCAGGCTTTGCGAGTAGAGGGAGGCTATGGTTGTACACAATGCAGGCAGCGTGCGATCTCCGGAAAGACAAAGAACTAGCGTGTTCCAATATGGCGACACGGAACCGCCCTAAGCTGAGAGCTCTGGCCCAGTCATAAGGGGCAATAAACACCAAAAATACCCCCGCCCTCTCCCCCCCCCCCCAAAAAAAAAAAATAAAATAAAAAGAATGCGTCATGTGATTCTTCGAAGCGAGTTGGCTGCGGAGGTAGGTAACCCTGTACAGTCCTTACCACAACGTCGGAGAATCGCTCCGGTCGGCAGAATAATCCGCCCTCCACAAAACGAAACGGGTCCAGCAACCCAAGTTGCTAGCACCGAGGAGCAAACGGAGACATCTGGCACCTCTTTTTTTCCCCGCTCGAAATATACAAACTGGCGTAAGGTCCGCCCTCCACCGTCGGTATGCCACCGGGGAACGTCGCACAACCTTGTCTCGTAGCTGCGCCACGCGGAGAGAAAGAGAGAGAGAGAGAAAATGCCCGTATAAAGTCGGAATTGAACGGAAGCGGAAATTAAGTTGAGCGGAAACTCATCGGAAATGGCAGAGCTATCGCACCCACACTCGACGTTTCGCAGGATTGGTCTGCAAAGTTCTCACAATCCGTTAAGTCCGATCGACCCACGGGGAAGAGATGAGCACGTTGGTAAAACATATTTAGGAGACGCCAGCTGAACAAACCAACCATACAAATGAGAGAAGAACGTCAGAGACGCATCAACTGCTGGTTCAATGCGTCTCTCACGTTCTTCCCTCGTTTGTGCTCGTTCAGCTGGCGTCTCCTAAATCCGATCGAAGCCTTGGTTTGAATCCCGGAGAAAAGCTCACCGCAAAACCGGTGGACGCTGATAAAAAGCTCACCGATGATTTTTTTTCTTCTTTTCATGTGGAGGCTGTCGGATCTTGCGTAACATACATCAATTTATTATCATAAGAACTCGTGAGTTTTGTAAAAAATAAAAATAAGAAAAATGTCATTTTTTGAAATATTTGTTAAGTTTATTGGGTATATATGGCTCCACAATTAATAAATGCGGGCGAGTGTTCTTTTTTTTTTTTTGTGGTTAGCCAACGAAAGTTTAACTGAAAACTTTATGAACTCGAAAAACAGGAACAAGTTCGAAAACCTAATAATATCTGCTTAAAAACCTAAAAAGAAGAAACAGTAAATGTCGAAAATACGAAAGTGCATGCGCAACCATGCTGTGCCTGAAATTCTCTTTGAAGTTTTTGTT